ATCCATGCATACTCATTTAAAAATCTGTGRCACTGCAGGGGACCTGAAGGTTGACTCGTTGAAATCTGCCTAAAATGACCCATTACGATCAGAAAAACCTCCCCATGAAACAGGGTTGGGGAAAAGACCGCAGGTCCCAGAGAAATCCTCACCCCATGCCAATCTGTGAAGGAAATCTCCATTTGAACCTAACAGTTACCATAAACTAATTTTAGGGACTTTTCAATGTCAATATCGTCCCGGTTTGTTACCTATGCTAGTAAGGACAAATGTAATGTGAGTCACGCATTAACACAAAGTGATTTAGATATTTCCATGAGACTCAGCTCACTACATAAGTTGATCATAATATGACAGTCAAAATAATAAGTAACACATAGTAAATGATTGTCACATCAAACAATATGATATAAAGAATAAAAACCAAAATGATAAACACATAAAGAAGATTATAAGAGTTCTTAACAATGTTAGTTTTTGTTTTCTGTCACCCATGGTGTCTGGATTCAGTCCTTTTCTGTGGCAAAAATGTTTGAGCAATCACAATCAGAGTCCAAGTCCTTTGTACTGCCGATCCTGTACAGATTCATGAGTCCTGTCCAAGAWTTGGAGTCCAAAGTCCATGTAACAGAATCAGCTTGGTGTCCTCCTGGAAAAACAGAAAACACCACACCAGTATCTTGCAAAAAATGACAAGTTTCAATACCATGCATGGAAAATGAACTTTATCATCATGTTTATACAGTGCTGATGAGTAACAGCATGTCTCAATTGTACAAGTGTACAATTGTACAATGTGCCGTGAGGTATGTAACTATTGAGGTGTTAACGTCATCTCTCTTCTTTAGTCAACAGAAGAAAAAATAAAAGAAAGAAAGAAATCCTCAGAGCTGTGACACTTAAATGTCCTGCTCCTGGTGCTCAGTCAAATAATAAAGGATTGAGTCAAATCAAATGAATAAACAAAATCAAACTAAATTAATAATAAAAGATACTGTATATGTGAGAGGAAAAAAAGAAAACTATATAGGCAAACAATATATGTCAATAAACATATCAGTAAAGAAAGAAAAAAGAAAAGCATTGTATGTGGTGCCTTAACAGTTACTTATGGCCAGAATAAACACTGAAGGAATATGGGGAAAACAGTAGCAATCAGCTTCGGACRGGGCTCAGCCAAAACAACAAACAAAAAGACTCTAATTTTCTGAGTAACTGTTGTCCTGTCCTTCAAAACCAAACAAACAAATTACATTCATGAAAAGGTTTTTATATGGTTTTTAATATGTTCCAAATAAAGTGTCCTGTACGTGACTACTGTTTTCAAGTCAATGGCGGCTAGAGAGGAACTTAGTGTGCAAGCAGAACTAGAAAAACAAGTTTAGACAGACTGTCTAACCTTAAAGAGTTCCAGCATGCCCAAGGTCCCAGCAAAGCTAAGCAAGAAAAATGTTATGACTAACAAGGTGAAAGTTGTCTTTCTGTGTACTGGCCCCAGCAACCAGTTTCGGATTGGTCTTTATGTTTATGACGTGACATAGCATAGTGATGTAATGTCTATGTGTGTCAATAAAAAGTGGATCACGTCTGCAAAACGTTAGAACTTCTTTGTACCCAGCTGCTGTTAAGTTGGACATTGAACTTCTCCCCTTTGCGCAAAGTGTATTGTGGTGAATTTTCATGTATGGCCCTTTAAGAATATGTGAACGAGGGTCAGACCGTGGGAGCGCGCATGAAGGC